ATCTATTTGAAATTCAATTCTGAGCATTTATATCATCGATAAGACTTGATGCATATGATTTTGATTCAATCATGTGATATATATGTATACGTATATATGCATAATTGATGAAGATGAAATACCATTATATTCAAGTAAATACTTGATTGATTATACACTGAAGTAATTTAAATAATATTCAGTAGATTTTTAACAAATAGAGAAACAGTATCTTGATACTTAGGATTTCTCGTTGACTATTAAATAGGAATGAAGTAATCAGTCTCTCTTGACTTATAGTATCTTCTGTGGATACGTTATTGTTCACTAAAAATTGATTACAGTCTAAGTTACCTGATGGCAGTAAGCTGATGTATCCCAAACAGGATTAAATACGCGTTCTGGATTCCAGTGTTAGCCACTATCAGGAAAAAATTATAATGATTATTATTTGTCCCTTGGATTCCTAGTAGAACATAGGGCTTCAGTAACACGTAACCATGTCACTCTTTTCTCTGCGGTCTTCTTAACCTGGCTCAACGACTGCCCACAAGCTTTCATTTCGTTTTCACACCACCTCCTCCATGTTACCCTTGGCTCGGACGCCCAACTCGTCGTTTCCCTTTAAATTCCACATGAGGACCTCGCCTTGGGCATAATGTCCCCAAACTGTCTTCTCAGTGTATGTCCGATCAAATGAATCTCCGCTTTCTTCTGGATATTTATTAGGCAATAATTCCTTGGTTGGTTCGTTAGTAGGCCAGAGTTCCTTACTGATTATTCTTCCTGGCCATCTGATCTTCAGTGTCAGTGTGAGGCGTAGCCGGTAGCTGTTGATATATGTCTGTAGTTTTGTAACGCGCCGCTAAGTCTCTCAACCATCACATGAAAGCACTGACTTGACTGAATTAGTGTTGAAAACCCGGATACTGTTCACGCTTCATGCTGAGTGCAGTCGACCTCCACATTAATTTAAAATAATGAAGGTCTGTCTTGCGGTCTTCCGATCCTGGCTGCTTTGACATACTCATCTATGTACCGACTGTAGTCGAAACGATGCCACCTTGCCCAGGCAGGTGAAAGAGACAACTTCCTTAAGGTTTCTCCCGTTTATAGTGATTGGTGCCTCTTGTTGTTTATGCTGTTGTTGATTGGGTATCTTCATCACCCTGTATTCCCCATGGTCACTTGAAGTCCAGTCTTCCTACGCTGCCTCGCCTCCCTGTCAACTTGTTAGTTTTCGCCTGTAGACCTTCGAGTTTGTGCAACAAGACATTAGACGTCAATCATCAGCAGCAAAATCAAAATCTTCTTCTGGGGACCCTTCATCCGTCCAGTCAGCGTATGCCCATCTTCTCACTCCTCACAATTACCTGTTGCATGATCCAGTCCAGTCAACCACAAGCAGGAAGATCATCGGTGATAGTAGGCAACCTTGTTTTGTCTTACCCCTCTCTTCACTTCAAAGGCGTCACTGAGCTTCCCATTGTGAATCACTTGGCTGGCATGTAGCATCATATGGCACATAGCTGTTGAATGAGTTTGATAAAGGTTTGCGGCACTAAGAGAGTAGTGTTGAAGTAGTTGCCCGCAAAATTACTTCTCGGTCGACGCTGTCGAAGACGTTTTCAGAGTGGATGAAGTTGAGGTGAAGATCCAGTTGACTGTCATTCTATACTGTGTTGTATGATGGTGCAAAGTGTAGCGTTGCAATTTGGTGCGCACATGATTTGTACTTCCTGAATCCAGCCAACCAGCCAGCCAGCCAACCAGTCTGTTCTGGTAGTAGTTTTGAATCCATTGTATACTTTAATCTCTCCAGGATGATACTGTTTGAAATTTGCTTGGTTTGGGCTGACAGAGATACGAGCATGAATCCACACCACTTCTTACAAAGGCTCAGGTCTCACTTCTCTGCAATTTTGATAAGATGGCCCCTCTTACAGTTGATAGTCAGGTGCCTTTCCTTCCTTCCTTCCCTCCCTCCAAACCTTCTGCAGTAGTGGTGTGTGAGTGTGTCCTTTGTTGTCTGTGCTGTGTGTCCGTCTTCAGTGCTTCTGGTGGAATTCCATGTCGTCCTACTGCTCTCCCCGATATCAGACACTTTATGGTGTTGAGGACTTCAATTCTGCTTGCGTCGGAGTGACTATGTTCACTGGTAATTCCGTGACTGAGCTGCTCGTGGTATTTATCGATGAGTTGCAGTGGAGGTGGTGGTGATGATGATTGTCGATTCAAGAGTTTTTCGAAGTGGTCAACTCATCGTTTCCTTTGTTTCTCCTCTTCTGTATCAATGTTTCCTTCACTATCTTTCATTAGTTTCGTCTGTCTTGATCACTTCCCTAACAGATAGTATTTCGGTTATTTGACATTGTGTTTTCAGGTCTCTGCTACTAGCAGCCTGTTGTGCTTCACTTGCCAGTGTGTTGTGGAGGTGTCTTTTGTCTTTCCGTGCACTCCTCTTCACTTCTTTGTCCATTGCCTTGTAGGTTGTACTCTGTCTCTCTTTTCTCTGTTCATCCCTGCACTGCACTGCACTGCACTACACTGGTTCATCTTATGCTTCACCATCAGCAGCTTCACCACCTTTATCAGCTTCCATGTATCCGTGGAGATCCACTCCTTATCTTGCTTCTTCTTCCTTCGTAATATGGTTATGCAGGTTTCCTGCCATGTCCCTCTCAAAGAGTTCTAGTGTTCTTCTACACAGATTTCTTCTTCAAGGATGTTTGTTGCTCAATGTCTCCTATTTTGTCCAGATAGCTGACGTGACGTCCTTTGTAGTTTCATCCTTTAGTTCAGTTTGTGTTCTGGGTGTTGAAGTTGAACTGTATTCTACCACCATCTTCTTTGAGGCTTTGAACTTGATTTTGAAGGTATGTTCCTTGTACTAGATAGTGAGTGGTGTGAACTACATCTGCTCCTTTTCTTGATATTGTGTCCAGTAGGCAACGTCTCCACTTTCTTCATATTGAGATGTAGTCGATCTGATTTTAAGTGTAGTGTGTCCTGGTGTCTGCTGAAATCAAATCTATGTCGTTGCCATCTGAATACCCCTGTATTTGTACACATTGTCTCCAATAACCGAACCGTTGAATGCTCAGAAATTTGCAAATAGTTCTCCATTCTCATTCATCACTTTACCAAGTGCTTCTCAACCAATGACTAGTTCTCTTTTTGTGTTGTCCTCTCGCAGTTTGGCATTCATGTCACCCATTAGAATGAATTTCGATGTCCCCATATGTTATGGGGTCTTATCCATTACTGATTGTAGTTGTCTATAGAATTTCCCTTTCTTCTCTTCATCTGCATTATTTGTGTGAACATAGCATTGTATTGTATGATTGTGACTTTCTTTCCTTTTGAGTTGAATTCATCTTGCTGTCATGATCCTGATAGTTGAGAAGATTGGTTCCTACTGCATGAGAAACATCATGGTAGCCACTTCAAAACTCAGTTTGCTCGTGGTTGTCATCTGGGTGACAATATTGGAGTAGATTATTGACTCCTCTCCAGTCGACATGTTTGAGCGTCCACTTGCATTCCATCTGCTTTCGCAGATTCCTATCACTTCTATGCTATAACTTCTCGTTTATTTTGCAATCTGGTCAGCTTCAAACATGGTGCAGACATTCCATGTCCCCATGTTTACTTTTGCTTTCATCGAGAGAGGCGAAGATACATCGGCCAATTGGCCTCCCGAAGGCTTTCACCAACCGGCGTCATTTCGCCTCTCGGATTGTAGCGAGGAACAATGTTGTTATTATTTTTTATATTTTGTTTGTGCTTTGAGGTTTGTGTAGTGGTTGTATTTGTTTTCCTGGGTAGGGTTGCTAGCCCTGTGCCCAACTTTCCCTCTTTATCCGGGCTTAGGACCAGCTAGTAACTGGTGAACTAGTAAACTAGGCGAGGTTATCAAGCAAACTGTATCATAACAAGTATATTGTTTTTTTTTTCATCATCACATTCGTACATTTTAATCGTAGGCTTTGATGATTTGATCAAGCTAAAGATAGCTTTCATTACTAATTGGTGTAATTTGAAGAGAAATTGAGAATAAATTTTCCAACGGACACACTTTCTGTGTTTACTTCCAATAAGAAAGGTTGAGGACGTTGATCAATCCACTTACCTTGGAATTTAGATCAGCTATAGTTGGCTAGTAGCCAACTTTCCCCATCTGCAGCGATATCACATTGCTAATTAAAGGCCAAGTATACTGTGCTGCAATTTGCTCTGTTCGATCGTGTAGCAATGAAACATGGCCATTCAAGCTAGAGGAGATGAGAAAGCTTTTGGTGTCTGACTAACGTTATCTTCGTGGCATAGGCCGTGATTCGTGGTGCCACTATGTGATTGATGCAGAAGTCAGGTGTAAAGTTTTCGCGAAGAGAAGAAAGTCACTTGATAGGGTCATGAACCTCCATTATTTGAGATGCCTTGGATATGTGTTAAGCATGCCTAACTTCTTAGCACAAGATTGGCTGATGTATGTTCCGGTTGGATAAAGGCTCGAGAACGCCAGACTTAAACTTGGCATCACTGCATAAAATCTTTGGCTGTTCATTTTACATATGTTAGTATATGCAGACTAGTCTTTGGGTTCCACGTGACAGCAGAAATCAGTAGTAGGAGACTTTAGATGACGTTGTTCAGAATCAGTCTTGATGGCGCAGACATATCAACACTTTTCTTCATCTTATCCGCTATTATGAATTCAGCATTTTCTTATAACTCCTTACTCTTGTTTACGGTATTCTGCTGCTTTTGATAGGTGTTTCTTTCCTTCTTCATCTCTCTTCGGGTCGTGAATTCTCATCACGGCTCCACCCACTGATGTTTGAGCAGCCAGGTTTTATCACTGGCCCTCACAAAACAGGTATGGCTCACTGTCTACTCCAGAAATGTGCACATGGTTGCTGAATGAATTTCCGTCTTTCGATGTTAGTATTTTACTTTAAAGAAACCGAAAATAAAGATTTATTTTAATTAAATGTATTATTTTCTCCTCTTCATATAAGTGAACTGGTCGTAATATGTCAGTCAGAATCCCGTATGAATGATTGGAATAATACGTTATTATCGCACATATATCTAGATGGTACAAGAGATTTTATACAATATAATCGTTTTGGATCATTTGCTCCACCAAGACGTGATACACAAATCTGCATGTAAGTTTTATTTTAAAAATAGCTGAATAAGATCATTTTTGAGTAAAGCAACAACAAAGATATTTACAGAATCGAATGAGTTCATTCAATGACCTTTCGTCTGTTGCAGACAACCTATAAATGAAATAAAATAATGACAGTAATAATGACGTACCATACTTTAAATGTGTAGAAATAAATGAAGTTATGAAATCCAAGACTAATAATAAGGTAGTGAGTCGAGCAAATACAGGTATAATAATTACAAATCTTAGTCAAAATCATCGGCAACTTATATCTGTTAAGATAGAAAATTCAGTACCGGTAGAGAGAAGACAACATGAAATTGGTTGCATTCCCGTGACCAATCAATATATGTAAGCCAGTCCTACAGTAGGTCAATCGCTGCCCAAATAGCTCAGTGGTAAAGTTGCTGACTACAATACTGGGTGACGCAGGTTTGATTCTCAGGTGGGACATCAGTTCCGTCGACGTTGCAGATACACCTTGCTGATGAATGCCGAAAAGCATGAAATCTAGGTCCAGGGCTTCCTGCCGATTGCCTTCAACCAACTAACATCTACTTATGTGCTCGGCGATGCTGAGCTTCCCAGCTTGGTTGCCACATCGCAAATATGATCGATAGGATTCGGTTTGTACTCAGGAATAGACAACATGAAATTGGTTGCACTCCCGTGACTAATCAATGCAGAGAGAAGAAAGGACAGCCAACAGACATGAGTGTAAAAGAAGGGATTGTTAAAGAGTTAGTAGGTTGCATAATCACATAAGAAAACTGGAGAAACTTTAAACCAAGGGATTAACAGTCAGTAAATAATTAATGAAGAGATGATGCAATCAAAAAAGGAATATTAAATAAATACGTATGCAAAAAATTGTTTACAGTTACCGGGGTAAAGAAACGTTAATTATAATCTCTGTTTTGAGTTCAAAGGTTAGGTTAAAAATGTTTAATGATGGCGAGAACCTTGAAATAAAATGAGCTCATTTATTTTGCAAATGTTCAAGGGAACTAAATGTAAAATAATTATGTTTAAGATCAGGTGTACTTAATTTCAACAAAATATTCTTGTAGAAGCGTTGTACTCAAAAGAATTTGATCAATGTAACAAATTACTTAGAGAATTTTGAAAGGTGAATACATTTACAAAGTCTATATACCATACTCATATTTTGACTAGTTTATAATTAGAACCTTTTCTCACTATCATTTCCTTCCTTATGTAGTTGTTTAGTCTATTTTCACCACACACTATGAAAAGTTTATGTTTCAGATAAAGAAATATTGATAGTGGAGAAGAAGGATTGCAACGATAGTGTGTAGTTCGAGTAACTTACTATTTATTGTGAGAATATAATGAAGACAAGACAATAGTTGAACAATTTGCGCAGTTAAAAGCTATTCATTTCTGAATATGCAAAAATCTTCTATAGATCAATGCATAAATACAAATATTACTGTTGAACAATTTTCTATTACCAGATAGAATTTTGAATCTAGAAGAAGGATTCATGATGAGTTTTTTGGTATGATTAGACTATACACTAAGAATTCCAGAATATGGACACCACTGTCATATGTTTAGAGAGTTAAAGCTGTGCATCTACTCTTATTCATACTGGGAATAAATCTGAAGACTGAAATCTCATTCTGTTTTTATTAGTTTCCATTATCACAGAGTCAAACTCAACAACAAAGTCCTTTGTTTAATTTAATAAAGATTTAGAAGTGTATTCACTCAAAATGATACGAGTTGTAAACTAATTATCGATTATCTAAGTAGTTTGTCATCTAAAATTACCCGAAGGTAATGCACAAATGCAATAACGTAATAATTAACACTGGAACGTTTTCAAAAATAGCCTTATAGTATCCGCCTTATATTTCTAAGCTGATATAAATTAATAATATTAAGTGGTTAAAGGCAATCGATAGAAAGCCGTAGTTGACCTAGATTCGCGTTTATTAGCACTGGTCAACAAGGCGTATCCGCTACCTTGAGGCAACTGACATCCTCGGTGAAATTCTAACCCACATCACTCATTGTTGCAGTTAGCGATGGTTACCCTTCTAGCCTGTTAGACACATTGTAAGATGGTCGGTGGAATTCGATTACCACTTAAGGGTAGACATCATGAGATTCGTTGCTCTCTGGCGATCGATTAGTATGTGAATCAATATTATGTTCATCTCTTGAAGTCAACAGTTAAAAAAAATATGCAGCATCAAAATGAGGTAAGATGTAGAAGTAAATAACATCAAGAATAAACATATATGTGACTATAACCAATTTTATATTATACCGAACTTGCACTGACACAAATGGGTGATCAGTAGGAACTATATCCGTTCCCTATTCATCTGTTTTAAACTTTCGACACTGTTACGAAATGGGATAACTTAAATCGATATACCTTTTGTACAGCTTTACGATATTTTTTCATTGTTGATAATATATTTTTTGTATGCCAAATGTCAGTAGCTGACAGTTAAAAAAGTGTCTACTTTTGTGTGAATCAACACTAGGAAGCTTAATTTGGTTCATGAACTGACCGATGCACGGAGTCATGGAGACAGTTTTTAAGTAAATAACGAATGACGAGTTCCCTTTAAGTGCATCTACTTAGATAAGACCGAATCACCTTAGTTTTATATCTTCTCATAGATAATAGACTACAAACTAAGACAACAAATGCGAGAAAGAGGGAATTAAAGTCTTTCTTTTACTACTTGTAATTTCCCGTTGCCTAGCAGGGCTAAATCGCCTGATCTCTGTTGGCAGATGGGCCGTTAAGTGGATGTCTCGCTACTACTGAATATTCCTGATGTTATATTAATCTTGGTGACTACCAGTGGGATCTAGGACGTGCTTTTCGTCCTATTTGGGGAATAGTCAGCTGGATGTACTCACTTGCATGCCGGTGTGATGTTGTTCCTACTTAGACTCGAATTCAGAACCCATCGCTTCAAACGCTAAAGCGTTATACACTAGCCCGATGGGGGACTTGAAACCTACCAAATTAATTTTTTATGAAACTTAATACCACCATAAATGTTTACAGATCAGTGTTGTTTTATTGATCTTTTTTCGATAGAGATTCGAAAAATTCATTATACAAGAAAATAAATTATTCTGCTTTAATTTCATTGCATTTGAAGGTTTATAGATGGAGCTTGTTATATGGAGGCTGTAGCCAAAGCTATTGCTCAGGCTCAACATGAAATTTTCATTACAGATTGGTGTATGCATCCATCTGTTTTTCTTAGACGACCAGTAAGGGATAACACATGGCGTTTGGATATGCTGCTTCATGCCAAGGCGGTAAGATTTTACAATATACTATTCCCAGTTTAGCAACAAATATTGTCTGACATATGCTCCATAATTATATATTGATAAGAAATTTCCCTATGGAGGCAAAATATTTACTAAATAAGCAGCTTTTAGGCGACAGGATTTCTTTGTCATCTAAACAAGAATTAAAGTAAACAAATTGTGATATCTGTAACTCAAATTGTCGAGACTGTAAATTGATTCAAACAGACCGAAAATGAATGAGGAATTACGATAAGGGTGGAGAACAGGAAGAGATTTCAGGTGTTTGGCTACAGTTACCTTCGTTGCACTAACCGAATGTAATTTAACCAGTATGTTAGTAATATAGAAGTTAGACGCAAAGAGTAAGGCATAAGAGGTAAATAATTTGATGATTTTTAAACCTGATGGTAAAAAAGACTAGGTAGTCAGTGTCCATTGAAACGCCTTTACTGTAGCCTGGGTAAGTTTAGGCTGGAAAATGGTTAGGAGTGGTCAGACTAGAACATGGAACTAGTTCATGAAGTCTCTAACTCTAATGACGTTTTCGGTACTATACTTATTAGCAGCGACGTAAAGTAGACAGGAAGTTATGGAATAGAGAAGTAATTCCTTTATATCGGTTCACTAAAGAATTGCTGGATAAATGTAGTTGCAAATGAAATGACTGTATCGTAACTGATGTCACTGCATAAATAAGGAAACTATTTTATATAAATGACTTATCAAGTAAATAATTATTTTCAGTATATTTTAATGTTCCTTAAATGCTTCTACACTGTTTTATGAAGGCAAGCTTATCTGTTTTGGATTGATAACTAAGAATTCAAATGTAAAGTTCCTAATTTTACAACATACTGTGTACAGTAGTAGCTCAAGGCCAATCGCAAACCAGAGTTTGAAGTCCTCAGTTTCTTTAACTTATGTGTAAACAGTACTAATGTTACTAGTGAATACCTTTCCTCACAGAGAAGACTGTGAATACTCAGCCTACTTTTCCACAGGACTAGACTATAACTTATACTTCCCAGTTTTGTTAGACTGCTTTCAATATTCACAGCTACTCAAACAGGCGAGATAGTTGGTGATTTTTTTCTGATTATTGTTGATTATTTACGAGTGGTAGTATAATGATGCATGCAGTTCAAACGAATGGTAGACTATAAGGCATCCTTCCAATTCTGTGTAGTGTTTCTGATACAGAATTATTTAACATGAAATTATCACTTACCATATCCCCTTAGCTCTAGCTTTAAACCTTACAAGTCACTTGTAAACATCCAAGATTATATTCAGTACACTCTGATCTCTAAGATGCTGCTTTACTGTCGACAAAACAAAATTCATGGACAGAATGTACCACACATTCACATAAACTCACTTTCTGTCCATCTCGTTATTCAGTCATTTGTTTACTTTACTCATTTGCGTTGAACAACTGACCGCACATACTGTGTCCTTGGTAGTGTTCCATGTTATGGTACTATTCTTTACTTTAACTCGAAAGGAATTCACTCAAAATAAACCTCAAATGGAGACAAACAAAAGTAGTGAACACTAAACATGCCATGAGATATTATGCAGGTAACAGCTGGTGTACTTTCGTAGTGGTGTGATTATAAGTGTAAAACTTCGGAACTGCGGTGGAATGTAATTCAACATTAGATTTGTTTATCTGATATATACCACACACTCACACACACTATCGCTGTGTGCTGCATATTAAATAGACAAATCTAACTGATATGAATGATTATATGTTCAAGATATCTCAATTATAAGGTGTCTGAAAATAGTGTCGCTTAATGAATATTCCAGTCTTGAAGTTAAGGTGACTAACCTCAATTTTTTAAGATACGTCTTGCATGTAATTATCGATATACAAGTAGTCTAGATCCAGAGGTTTCTGTTTATCACTTCCAACCATGAAATTTGAAGTAAAGTTATATATTTACTAAACTAAGCGACTACAGTAAATCACCTGTACTATTTCATAATAATGCTAAATGGCTTGGAATTAGTTTTCATCACATAGCTCACAAGGGTTCACTTTTGCTTTGGGTGTTACTAACTGGAACATAGATATTGTATCACAAAAGTTCATAGTCTAATGTTTGGGTTATATATGTTATTTTTCAATTGCTGTTAACTAAGCAACGTTATTTTTGATATTTTCATTATTTTCACTTAGAAACAAGGAGTTAAAATATACATAATGCTTTACAAAGAAAGTGAGTTCGCAGTAAAGTTTAGAAGCATTAAAGTGAAGCGTTGGCTTAAATCTCTTCATTCAAATATATATGTAAGCAATGTTTTGTATTGAACATTTATTTTATTTCTCATCACTGTATAATGTTTTGAAGTGGTGAAATAAGTCTCGTAACTGTATAGTGAAAGGTATTTGATAGGTGAATTACAGAATAACATATATGAGATATAAAAACATCCACTTACTCATTAGGAGTGATAATATGAATGCTAATATCTTGATTTGAGAACCGCTTGATTTAAAGATACCTAACATCATATATTGATGTCAGCCGTTGGAATCTACTTTCTCTAGTTTCGAAACAATTTAACTGTACTCACTTCACTGTTGAGTACTTTGATCAGATTGTCAATACAGATTCTTAGTTGATGTTTATATCTACATACCTACGTATGTGAACATATATCATCATTTCGTACCAGAAGATGTCCTATTAAACCTTGGATATGAGATCAAGAAATAATTTCCTTGTATTTTCTATTTAACGTTCAAAAATTTAGTACCTCATAATATTTAGAGGTAAAGTTTATCTCGTTTTAGATCAGATTTAATTAAGAAGTAAATTATCTCATTCATTCACTATCATGATAGGTTGTTGTGGGAGTTGAATGACGGTTTCCATAAAATACTAGAAAAATTTACTGAGAAAGTTGAAACATTTTTTACTCATATTATAGGATGCATTATGAAGTAAAATTTTTATTTGAATAGGTATTAACACGAGTCAACTAAGAAAATACAGTCATAGAAAATTGAACGGTGGATATGAGGAGTAGTCATGTATAAATTATTATAAATATTCTCGATGAAAATAATGACAAACTACGGGATGAAGAAAACAGCGAAAGAAATCAAAATTAATGCTAACACATTCCTCATAATATGAGTATTTAGTATGTAAGGCAACATTTTAATAATTCCTGCATGTAGGGAATTGTGAGACCTGTTTGCACTTATTTGCACTACCCCGACATCCAAAAACCCATTGTTTGATGTAATTTTCGCCGATTTATTAGCTTAAAACATAAATTTCAGCACACACTAAACTCATAAGGTGTATTATTGCTTGCGCATATTAGAACAAATAATAAAATCAACAAATATTTTGCATTATTCCTCAACATTTCTGTCTTGCTGGGAAGATTCTTTTCAAGAGTATCCTAAACTACTAAACTATTTTTAAGACATCCTGGTAATTACTATTTTGCTTTTAATCTTAAAAAAAAGGCACGCAAATAAGTTTTCGTTTCACAAATTCATTCCTTCCAAAATCTCTTCATGGGGATTTCTGAATTTATAATACTGTCCAGTTTCAAGTTGTTATTCATCGTAGACTGACATCAGCTGGAGGAAGAAAAGGAAACCTGGGAGCACTGGACAGCTGTTTCGTTCTAGTATGGGACTCCTCAGCAGTGCACACCCACGACCCCGCCAGGGATCGAATCCGCACTGCTGAGGAGTCCCATACTAAGACGAAATAGCTGTCCAGTGCTCCCAGGTTCCCTTTGTTCCTCCAACTGATGTCAGTCTACGATGAATAGCAACCTGAAATATTCTCAAGTCTCCACAACTTCCCAAAATTCAACTGTCCAGTTTATTCAAAATATGAGTGCCTAAAAGGTATTACAATACCTATATATTTGTTTTACTGTAATTCAAAGCACTCAGCATAATATACAAGTTAGCATCGTAGAAAGCAAGTAATATATCTTCGCTCTGCTTACTGCTGTCAGCATTTTCTATCACCCAGTCCACAATCACTTTCCCTTTCTTTAGGTGTACCGTTCACCACGTTCAACACGTTTATGGAGTCATCATGAAAAAATTGTTGCTGTGGATCAATCAATTGTTTTCCTTGGAGGGATTGATTTGTGTTTTGGTCGATGGGACACCAATGATCACAGGTAAGATAAAGTGAAGAAGAGTAATTTTCGTTTCTTGATAATTAACACTGAATCAGTTTATTATTTTATTATATTAGTCCCTTGGGTTCCTAGTGGAACATAGGGCTTCAGTAGCACGTCTCTAGTGAATTCTGTTCTCTGAGATCTTTTGAACCTGGTTCCATGACAGCCGAGAAGCTCTCATTTCCTCCTCGCACGACCTCCTCCATGTCACCCTCGGACGTCCAACTCGTCGTTTCCCATGGGGATTCCACTCGAGCAACTGGCCTGACGCGTGATGTCCTCAGTCAGCCTTCTCAGTGCATGCCCAATCCAATCCATCTCCACTTCCTCCTGTATATTTGTTGCGTGATAGGTTCTTGGTTGGTTCGTTCCCAGAGCTCCTTGTTGCTTATTCTGATTATTCTGGCAATCCATCTGATCTTCAGTAGCGAGCCAGCGTAGGTGGCAGTTGTTGATGAATGTCTGTAGTTTATTGGAAATCCCTTTCGTGACGCGCCAAGTCTCTGAACCATAAAGAAGCACTGACTTGACTGAGTTGGTGTTGAAAATCCGTATCTTGTTCCGCATGCTGAGTGGAGTGCAGAAGATCTCCACACTGGTTTCAGGCTAATGAACGCCTGTCTTAAAATCAGTTTACTCCTTTATTATTACTTAAATATCATGCATATTTAAAGTCTAGTTGATTGTTTCGTTTTGTAATCTTAGTATTTTCTTTTTCAATAATAGCAGCTTCATTCTAAAGGGCATTTTAGGAATTCTAATGCATAATTTTCAGTATATCATATAAAATCAGTTGGACAGAAACAGTGTATACTGTATAAATAGCAAAATGAAATACAAATATGCAGAAAAACAGTGGAGGTGGATCGGACATACACTGAGAAGACTGTTTAGGGATGCGGCAGACCAGGCAGTCAAGTGGAACCCAATTGGGAAACGACGAGATGGACATTTGAGGGTGACATGAAGAGGAGATCATGTGAGGAAGAAATGAAAGCTTCTGGGAAGTGGTGGAGCCAGGTTAAGAAGACTGCAGAGAAAAGGGTAAAATGGAGACGTGTTACTGAAGCAAAATAAAACGGGTAGAAATTGCAAATAAGAGATAAGTATGTTTACTCCATCTACAACTTTCTTGAAAATGATAACTCAGGTAGATAATAGTCCCATTAACAGTTAGATTCGTACTACATAAATAATAGTAAGTTGTGTAATCTCTTAAATTAGTTTGCTTTAAAAATGAAGATTGATTAGTTAGTTCACTTCTGACTTTCTCTTTCTCGCACAGGAGACTAGTCAAATACGGTAGTGTACAGTTTATACATTTAGTATTAATTGTACAAAATCCAGTATACTTGCTCCTTGTCTTGCCTGATGACCAACACATAGGGAACTATGAGTGAATATGCTGATTATCTGGTAAAATAACCCCTGCCAGATGTTAACGTGAGTTAATATGTTTGTCTACAACAATTTGCTTTTTTACTGTATCAACCTAAATAAAAGTTGATTCACATAGTAGTACCGGCAGATATTTAATAACTAATGAATCATGATCTATGTCACTGAATTAGTTGAACCCTATAAAGAATAATAAGACGCTGAAAGCACTTTAAGAGGTAAAAGAAGTTGTTTTGTGGGCAATAAGAATACGTTTTTCACCGTGAACATTACTGAAACCCAAATCTGACCCTAGTTTATTCCACTGTTTGAATAACCATTCCAGAATAGGTTTCACTTCACATTTGTCTAATGTGTATGGCTTCATCATAATGTTGTCTTAATGTAACCTTAAAAAAGTAATTTTATACTTCTCTACTGGGCTTATTAGTACAGTTATATGTTAAAAAGTAACTTCTAGAGATTTTCTTTAAATAGTTCGCTATTCTTAAGTAACTTCGTGTCTAATAGGGAAGTGAGTCACACTTCCAGTCGATCATTACATTCATATAGAAGTTAACAAGTCACACGAAACGTCTATTGTCTTTTGAATTTCTATTACACAAGGTATTTGAAAACATAAAAGTAATGACTAGTTTACAGACAAAAATTTTTACAAAACGTGTTGTCAATCTCAAGGTTTTTCAACCTCTGGTTTATGAGGCTATCGTAAAATTCTTTTCTACGTTTTCCCTAGACATGCCTCACTTATATGGTGGAACAAGTAGGCTTTGCTGACATACAAAACTTGTGAAACGCAATTTCTTGAGCCTTGCCAACAATACGGTTATGACATATGACTGTGCAAAGTTCAATATTGATTTATCAGTCTATCGGTCTATACGGCTATCCTATAAGACAGACTTTAACTTGATTTTACCTTCTTCTATAAACTTTTTTATTCTAAGGTTAAACTATGTTATCATCTAATAATGCTTAAAGAAAGATGAAAGATACTAATCATTAAAATAATCAACACAGTTTTGTTTATTTTTTCAGCTGTGATAATGAGAAAAATTTATGCAATGTTGATAAAAATAATTTCAAGAAATTCCATATCTGTATGATTTATATTATCTTCTACGGATAGTTGAATTTATGATAATAAAAAAAAGATATGTGTAGCTCATATGTACAAACTTTTGAAAGTAAATTATATAGTTAGCGTGACATTGTAAAGATACATTTTTGTAGTCTTTCTCATGCATAACACTGTGTTCCCTACTGAGTATCTTATTCTAAGCCATAGCAAATGATGATATAATTCAGTGATGAATATTTCTCACAGAATCTGAGAAAGATAATGTGTCTGTGCAATACATTTCAAAAAATCTGATCACACACTATCTTTTCAATGCATTTTATACAAAGGGGTGAAAATAGGATGGAGTAAGGTAAATGAATTATAATAATACAATATTTAGAAACTATAAGATAATAAGGAAGAATAAGAGGTTTCCACGTCTCTCTTGGAATTGAAATGAAATAAAAATTACCAGGGAAGGTTTAAACTAAACTAGAGCTTCAATGAACACAATTAACGGTCCTGATGGGTCTTTTATATTGGTTGGTGTGACGTTTGTTTTGACCTTAACTATACAAAACTTCAAAACCCCCTTGTGTATTGAAAAACAATTTATCCTTACCTCAAATCCATCGTTAGTAATCTTTGCGTCATTATAATGCTAAAGGAGGTGTGAAAATGTATTATTCCGCCTTATTATCTTTACAGTTTCCAAATCTTGTATTATTTTGATTTATTTATCTTATCGCACTCTATTTTCATCCTGCAGATCGTTCAAAATGCATTCTCAGATAAATTTTTTTATACCCTGGTTGTCGCTTGTTATATTCTTGTAGTGACTACTTGATATAACCTGAGTTATATAGATGTGCGGATGCTTCTACAATAACCTTCAGATTCCAACCTTTGATGAGTGCTCATTTTTCTCGATAAACGGAATGGATGGTAATATAACGAAATTGTATTGCAACAGCAAAAATATTTACAGAATACGATGGTTTATACATATATTCACTACGGCCCAGGCTATTTCCAGACCTCTTTAGATTTGAACGTTCTAATGGTTTTGATCCCATCAACTATCCTGATATTTACACGTTGGTTTATGTACTTTCTCTCAAGATTTCAATGCAACATGCTTGGTTGTAAAAAGCTTCAGGGATATAGGGCTTTTAATGAAGATTATGACAATCCTGTTCCATAGTATAGGAACCTCCACATTCTTAATGAATCTTTATTAAGGTTTACTGATGATCAGTTACGTTTCTTTTTTAGAAAACATGTTTTGGTGTTTTAATACACTTATTGAACTCTGACAGTATACTTATTCAATATCTCTTATAATTCTAATGGATATTCAGTTGATAATACTTGATAAAACTTCATGGAAAAAAAACAGCTGATTATTTGGAAAACAAGAATTTCTGATTATCTGACAAATATTCACTGATATTATTTATTTTTGGTACGTGAATTTTTATTTCTTTAAGCTACTTTAAGAAACAGTTGACAAAAAGAGACCGTTTGCAATGATTTTCAAATTGTCTCAACGTATTACTAAGCAAAGCTTTCGAATGGTTTATATTTCGGGATTAATTTTATGTCAATATTTGTATATCTGTAGAGAAATTGGCAGTATAATGATAAATTCGATGTGACAGCATTTCAGGCTGTTGAAGTAATCGATAAAAGCTTTCGAATGCTTTCTAAAGTATTCCACTGTATAGTGCTTCTGTTATCCTTAAGGCGGATAAAAAAGAAAAAGATGTTTCAAGAGTTCCCGAATCAAGTTGACCAACAGCTGTGGAAGATAATGGAATGATTATCATATAAGATAATTAAAACCCATAAAGCGAATTAACTGTTTCCTTATACTTCGTTTAAAAACTGAAATAAATGTTCAAAAATCGAATGTATATGTTGTTATTCTTGAAAAACAATATCTTCAGATGACTATCTTAAGGATTATAAACGATTATCGATAAATATATCATATGCAAGACTAAACTTCAGTAGATCTAAACTCTTTTGTTGAGAAAATTTGGACGCATATGACATGTTCCTTAACTCTCCTTCTCTACACATTGATAAACTCCTCCTCTTTTTGGTAACATTTGCTATATTTGTCCTTTAATTTTTATTATATATCCCTTGCGATCCTACTGGAACATAGGACTTCAGTGGCACGTCTCAATTCCACTCTGCTCTCTGAAATCTTTTCAACCTGGCTACACAACAGCCCAGCTCGTCGTTTCCCATCTGAGTTCCACTCAACACCCTGGCCTGACAAGTGATGTCCCCAGTCGACCCTCTCAGTAAATGCCTAATCCAATACATCTCCACTTCCTTCCACTGCATATATGTTGAGCGATAGATTCTCGGTTGGTTCGTTCCCATAGTTCCTAGTCGCTTATTCTTTCCGACCATCTGATCTTCAGTAGCGAGCCAGCGTAGGTGGCAGTTGTTGATGAATGTCTGTCTGTGGTTTGTTGGAAATGACTTTCGTAACGCACCAAGTCTCTGAACCATACAAAAG